GATAGATAGATAGATAGATAGATAGATAGATAGATAGATAGATAGATGATAGATAGATAGATGATAGATAGATAGATAGATAGATAGATAGATAGATAGATAGATAGATAGATAGACAGATATTCTTGAACAGGGTTAAGAAAAACCCTGCTAGATGATACCAGTCTAGGCCAATTTTCTATTCCAAAATAGCTGACCAAATGCATTTGGAGGAACTCCTAAGTAGGACAATGTCAGCATCCAAAACTGACACTCAGTGTGGAAACTTTTCGTGTTATGGATGTACAGCGTAGTTTCATCCAGCCAGTAGGTAGATCGGTCATGTAGACAAGCTGATTTCTGACTGGCAGGTTCTTGCACTGGTTCCAGGGACTGATCCTGAACTTCCACGCTTTAGACAATCTATACATTGAACACCCTGGTTGCAGGAAATCCTCTCATAATGGGAGGCTAGGCCAGCTCCCTGTGCAGCTTGGAATAATTGTGTTTGCCTAGTAATTAAAGATGGGTTGGAGGGCGGGGAGAGAGTTAGCACTGAAACCAGTTTTCTGTGCTTAAGGGTGAGGAGAAGAGAAGGAAAGTGATTGTTGTCTAATTAAGAAACCCCTTGGAGATGGGTTCATTGCTCCCACTGTGGGAGCTTGCATATACAAGTTCTCTTCCACTTATAGCAATAGCACTTAGACTTATATACCGCTTTTGGCCTTGGCAACCTTAAGACTTGTGGACTTCAACTCCCAGAATTGTTTGTATGGACATGCTTGAAGGGGAGGCCAGGTAAATCAATCTGGTGACTTCATGGATATATCCACCTCTCTCTCTCTCTCTCTCTCTCTCTCTCTCTCTCTCTCTCTCCTAGCAGCACGGAAGAAGTTCTGACCTTTGCTTTCATCCCAGATATTGACTTCCCAGTTGAATCTACATTTCTAGGCTTTCCTTGTGGTCTCCCATTCCGCAGCTCACTGGATCTGGCTGGAATGCCTGCCAGGCAAGGCCAGCTGGGTGCTGTCACTTAGAGGGAATGAGCTGTAGGGGCCAATCACACTCAGAACAAGGGTGTCCAACCTTGACCACTTTAAGACCTGTGAACTTCAACTCCCAGAACTTTGGAACTTGGTCTACAAATCTTTTTATATATATAAAATTTTTTATTTTAAGACAAACATACACAGACAATACATTAAAAAAACATAAAACCATCTTCCATTTTGTACAAACAGTGTGTCGGTTGGTTTAGAATCTTTTGTGCGATCCTTTCATAATCATTGTTCACAATTTATATCAATCTCACATTGTCAAACTAACATATGATTATCTATTTATCAATTATTAATTATCCTGCTATTTATTCCATCAATATTGTATTATGCTGTCATCCAATGGTTATATATGTCTGCATTATATTTTGTATCAATCTATTAAGCTTCTATAACAAAATGGTCTACAAATCTTAAAGTTGCCAAGGTTGTGGAACCCTGAGTCGGCAGCTTTTTGCTAGAAGTGGACATGTGGATTTAACTATCTTTTTCTTCCTAAAGGTAACATTAAGTCACATCATTAATATAATTGTTTACTATTACTATTGTTTTTGTTGTTGTTATTTACTATGTTAGGTGTATTGATCCCTCCAGCTATCCTTGTAGACTTTTTTCTAAACTTTAAAGATTTACAGGGATACAGCCTGAAGTGAAGGACCTCATGCATTTCTGAAAACTAAGTTTAACTTTTATGTTGTGTGGGTGGGTGTGCTTATGTATGTTCAGAACCTACTGGGATGTATGTGGACCCCGTGCCAAAAGATTCAAGTAAAATAAAATCCACCACTCCAAATGCAGATCTTTCCTAAAACCATGAGCCGGTGTGAGAGAAATGACTTCCTTTCTTTCATGATATCGTTCTTGCTTTTAAAATTGGAAACCTTTAAGTGTTCTTAGGAGTTGGGTGGTCTCTAAATTAATTAGATACATACATACATACATACATACATACATACATACATACATACATGAATTGTTGGCTGGATAGAAGACAAATAGATAATGAAGATAGCTGATGAAAGTGATAGGATAGAGAGAGAGAGAGAGAGAGAGAAATAATGATAGATGATAGATGATATAGATAGATAAATGGATGGATGGATGAACAGACAGACAGATGGATAGATAGACAGACAGACAAATAATGATAGATAGATAGATAGATAGATAGATAGATAGATAGATAGATAGATAGATAGAT